GGCCGGCCGAAGGCATCGTAGGTCGCACCTCCTCGAGACTAGTCTCGGCAGCCACTTTCAAACTGTAATCGTGCACAGTGCTCTTGCCTATTTCAAGAACTTTGCCTATTTTCCTAGTCGAATGGCCCGCACGCAACATGCTTCTGATTCGCGCGCGTTTCCGCTCAGTTAACGGCTTCATGGCGATGCGGTCGTAGGCTCGCTTCCGGACTAACTCTTAAGCCAAAAACTATTGCGCGTTACGATGTACACACTGAGTGACGGGGGAAAATAGATCTACTCTTCCGCTCGGTTGGAAATGTCCGCATCGACTGTCGAGGAGTAAATTTCAACCCCACTTTCAGGTTGTGACACAATTGCGCCAAGCAAGAAACGGTTGAAGCAGAACTCGGAAACCTTGTAACGGAATGGAAAAAACCGGGTGTTACTATTTTCGAAACATGTGTGGCATAGCGTGCTGTTTCAAAGTGCTAAACATCCGGGCAATTTAATCCGCCACTGTAGTTGTTTTAATAGTTTCAGATATGAAACTGTCAGATGTTACGCACATTTCCGCAGTTACAAAATGTGCGTCACGTGTTCAATTTCTCAATATCGCAGGTAGATTTTGCCGTTTTCGGTCCGGATCAGTTCTGAGGTGAACTTACGAAATTGCAAATTTCTCGTGATTTCGGAACGCACCTTCATCAGAAAAATTAAGTCCTCGGTTTTCTGTCGAAGGGGTCGCTCGCAGAAGCGAAGTCCGAGATGACTCTCTGCCGCGCTTCTGCCAAATTTCGTTTCTGCCGAGGGGGTCATCAACAGAAGGGAGAGCCGAATTGAATTTCTGCCGAACTCCCGCAGAATGCAATTCTGCACGAACAGGTTCTTGCGCCACTCCGCCCGAAGTCCTGTTGGAACGCATTTCTGCAGAGTCGCTTCTGTCGAAAGGGTCGCCCGCAGAAATGTCTTCTGCGCGATACTTCTGCAGAGGACAACCCTTCTCAAATGGTCCCTGGTGCCAAATCTGCAGAGGGTCTTATAGACTCTCGATTCCGCTGAGACCGCTTCTACTGAAGCACCGAAATCTGTAGAAGCCATATGCAGAAAAAGCGCTCCTGTTCTGCCACTCCGACAGAACCGCTTTTCTGCCACCAACGAAAACTGCTCTTCTGCCACTTCCTGCAGAGCCTCGCCTCGTCGACAAATCTGCTCTTCATTGATGGGCCTTTCTGCAGGGCTCGTGTCCGCAGACTTCATTGATACGCCGCTTCCGCAGACTTCTGCAACCTTCGCAGGATCAGGGCTATTCTCAACAGCAGGGGGAAGCGGGCAGCAGGAGGAAGCAGGCAGCAGGAGTAAGCGGGCAGCAAGGGGAAGCGGGAAGCAGGGGGGAGTGGCCAGGCGGGGAAAGCACATGGCCGAGGGAAGCGGTAAGCAGGGTGAAGCGGGAAGCGGGGGGGAGCGGGCCGCAGGGGGGAAGCGGGAGGCATGGGAAAGCGGGCAGCAGACCGAAGCGGGAAGCAGGGGGAAGCGGGCGGCAAACGGAAGTGGGCAACAGGGCAAAGCGGGAAGCAGGGAGGAGCGGGCATCCGAGGGAAGCAGGCAGCAGGGGGAAGTGGGAAGCAGGGGGACGCGGGAAGCAGGGGGAACTGGGAAGGAGGGGGAAGCGGGAAGTTGGGGGTCGCGGGAAGTAGAGGAAGCGGGAAGCAGCCGCGGAGCATGAATGTTGGCATGGTGGGGATGTGGTGTGCTAGGGGCGGTGGCGTTGCTTGTGGACAGCTACGTGAGAGTGAGTGCTGGCGAGATCAAAGGAGAGCGCGGAAGGGAGTGGGGGAAGCATACATACAGTAAGAGCGCATGTGCGGAGAGAGGGATAGCGGGACATACCTGGGGGGGTGTTTTTTGTGTGCACAGCGTCTGCGTGTCTGCGCCCTAACACTGCCGACCCATCCACTGAGGGGGTTCTCTGGTTCTGCAGCTAGCGCGCCCGTGCACATTCGCGGGGATGAGCATCACAAAAAACCTGGATTTTTTGTTTCGGGTCGACAGGCTTGCCGAATTGGTTTTTTGGTTGAGTCATGGTTGGGGTTCCATCGGAAACGTTTCTGGCCAAACCGCGCCTCGGTTCTGGCCGAAATGCATCGGAAATTTGTGGTTGGGCATTTCAGGGCAAAAACTGTCCAATTATTTCCGCGGGCGAAATCGCGAGGGCGAAGCTACATCGAGACAGCCGTCGAACATTCGCCACAATAATTTCTCGCCCAAACTCTGGCTGAAATTCAAGGGCTCGATTCTTGCACCTTCTGAGCATCATTTGCGTTAGCGTGATAAAGGATGTCGGCTACACCAGAACTTGATGAGTTTGGTATACGAATTATTGTAGTATGAGTTCTTGAAAAAATATATCATGTGACACCTATGGTAAGGTGGAAAAAATGCTTTAAGGAACATACTTCTCTCGTTTATTGAACCATAAAAAATATTAAATGGTCAATTTCTATCATTGGGTGATTTGAATCAATATGTTAGCTACAAAAGGAAACGGATCTATGCGAATTAGCGCATGTGCGATGCACATCATGATTGATATGAGGATGGCCTACATCAATAAAGGGAGACAAGTGGTGTGATGCTGTGACGATTGCATACATATGAGATTGGTGGGTGTTGGAAATACCTCGAAGACTTAAGCGTTTCTGAAGTGTAACACTACACTCGAGGAAAGTCATATCGGGTACGCGAGTCAACGGAGGTTACACGAGGAGGTTGGACGAAAGAACACAAAAGGGCGAAGGGACTCGAAGGGTCGCAACCGGAGGTTGCGATTGACCGTTGCGACTGCAAGGGTGGTAACCGAACCGACAATCAAGTCGCTGTGCGACTCGATAACCGTTCCTTCAACTGTATTCTACAACTGCTTCATTTCCTATTTTTCTATATATTGCTGTATGCTTGTTTCTTTTAATCAATCACTTGCTCTCACATACTAGTGCAAGGGTTCAACTACTCAACACTTCCGCTGCACTACTTAAGCGTTTTGTACAAGTGGGACTTAGTCTCTGAAAAGATCCTAACGCTTTTCTCAGCCCAACATGGTATGAGAGCTGGTCAGAGACCAAACTCCCGTCAACAACATCCTATCTACAGTTAGCATATCAAAAGTTTCATCGATTACAAGACATGGACAACAAGGGAAAGAATTCCTCTACGGGCTCACCCAGTGCCCAAGCCACTCAATCCGGCACTTCTGGACTTCACACCTTTGGATTGCAAACCGAGACCGGCGCTGCTCAAGAAACAACAAGAAGAGTACCAGAAATGGTGACCCCTTCACCCTCTTCAGGTGTGGACCCGAACCTTATGGAAAGGTTCTTCAGCTTCATGTCGCACTTCGACCAGCAGCAGCAGACAAGGACACCTACGCATTCAACACAGAGCAACGGAGGAAATATGGGGTTAGCACCGATGAGCCTCGACAACTCATCATTCGGGCGGCACAACCAGGCGCCTACCTTTGCGCCTTATCACTCTTCACCAGGGACGTTCGAGTTCTTGCTGCCCCATGCTCAACCGACAGCAGCTGCATCACAACAAACACCAAACGAGATATTGAGTCTCCAGGCGCAGTTTTCACATGTGATCAAACTACAGATATCTTCACCATTCAACGGGCACGACTTCTTTACCTGGAGCTTTGAGTTCGACTTGCTGATGGAGGCAGCGCACCTCTTGGGATACTTCAACGGGTCCCTGCCATTTCCAAGCAATGGCACTGCAAAAGAGCAGGAAATCTTCACCTATCAGTCGCTGCTGGCATACACAGTCCTACTGCGAAACCTATCACCACAAGAGCAACAGAGCATCAGAATGTATCGGAGCTATGGAAACTCCGCGGAGCTCGCTTGGCATCATCTAAAATGTCTCTATCAAGCAGACGACAGTGTGACACAAAGCAGACTCATGCAGCAGTTGACAACAATACAAATGAAAACCGGGGAAAAGGCGATGCAGTATATGACCGGCTGCCAGACACTTCGCGACCGCCTGCTTCGGTGCGGAGGCACAATCACTGGAGAAAGCTTTGTGACACTTGTTCTCGCCGGGCTTAGACCACAATGGAGAACCACCCGCTCGCTTCTTCGCACCCACGGACGAATTTCCGATATGCACCTCTGCGCTGAGCTTCATGCTGAACAACAGGAGATGGACCTGTTTGAAGAAAGACAACCACAAAGCAAGCAACAACCATTAGTCTTCTACACTCAAAGAAAAAACGACAACAACCACAATCGACGCGACAAGCAGAATTGACATGGCACCAGAGGTCTCACCATCGTGTCGCCGTTCTGCCACAACTGTTAGACATCCGGGCACTCCAAGGTTAACTGCACACGCCCTCGAGTTTATCGTCCAGCAGATCCACAAGTCGCCTCCACTCAAGAGAGTCCGCCAAGCCGTTCCTCTACACCTGCACAAGGCACACCAAATATCATTAACTGCATGGTACGAATCGACAGCTGCACACCCGGGTCACCACCCACTTACGCTCCAAACGAAGAAGAGCTGCCGCCGGGTAGACCCTTCTAGAATATAGAATCACCCTGCGTATAGCCACGCAAGGCTATTGGCTTTAAGGGATTACGGCAGGATTACGCTAAATATAGCGCGCCAGTACATCCCAAGCCTGGTCGATGATATAATTATAATAGCAGGATAATCCAAAGGATAATGGAAAATGGAGAATAGGAAACGTGTGCGGGCCGGCTAAGGCATCTGCTTTGTTTTTGTGGCCGGGCTTGTACACGATATTGTAGTGCAAGTGCGTCTCGAGGAAGTCGATCCACTGGACTTGTCGCCTGGAAAGGTTGGGTTGTGTCTTCAAATATTTCAGGCTGCAGTGGTCGGTGTAGACGGTCGTTCTTCGTCCTTCGAGATAACATCTCCACGCTTTGAAAGCGATGAGGATGGCAAGGGCCTCTTTGTCGTGTATCAAGTAGTTTAGTTCTGCCCCGTGTAGTTTCTTACTCAGGTAGGCGATTCATTGCAGTCCATTCCCCTGGTCTTGCATCAAGACTGCTCCCACTGCCTGGTCGATGGCGTCAGCTTCGATAACGTAGTCGGGTTCGGGATCTGGCACGATGAGTACTGGTGCGGATGTGAGTGCTTGTTTCAGCTGATCCATGGCTTCCTGGTGCTTCGGCTCCCATTTGTAGGGTGTGTTCTTCTTCAGCAGATTCGTGAGTGGTGTCGCGAGTTTCGCATACTGTGGCACGAACCTGTTGTAGTAATTAGCGAAGCCTAGGAACTGCTGCAACTCCTTCACGTTCTCGGGTGTCTTCCACGTACGTACGGCTTCGACTTTCTTGGGGTCGACGTGAACTCCTTGAGTGCTCACCACGTGTCCTAGAAACTGGACTTTCTCAAAGGCGAATTCGCTCTTGGACACTTTGACGTAGAACCGTTCCCGTCGAAGAATCTCGAAGACGTGTCGCAGGTGTTCGACGTGCTGTTTCATGTCGCGTGAGTAGATGAGGATGTCATCCAGGTACACCACCATGCATTCGTCCAAAAGTGGGCGTAGAATGTAGTTCATCTCGGCTTGGAACATTGCCGGTGCGTTGGTGAGTCCGAACGGCATGACCAAATACTCGTACGATCCGTACCGAGTTCGGAAAGCAGTTTTGTGGATGGAGTTGTCCGCCATTCGTATCTGCCAGTATCCGGACCGCAGATCCAGTTTGGAAAATACCGTAGCTCCCCGAAGCTGATCAACCAAGTCATCGATTCGTGGTATCGGATATTTATTCTTGATGGTCTGCTTGTTGAGAGCTCGGTAATCGATGCACATGCATAGGCTTCTGTCCGGTTTCGGTGTGAAGAGCACTGAGGAACCGTATGGCGAAGTGGATGGTTGGATGAGTCCTTTGGCACGGAGATACTCGATCTGTTTTTTCATGTCGGTCAGCTCCGTAGGGCTGAGCCGATATGGTGCTCGGAAAGTCGGCTTCGAACCTGGTTCCTCCACAATCTTGTGTTGATGCGTTCGGTATGGCGGTAGCTCGTTCGGAAGATAGTAAGGAAGAATGTCTTGGAACTCCTTCAGCAATTCCTTGATTTTTTTCGAAGGTTCCGAGGTCTTCTCTCCATTTTTCTCCACCTGTGTTGCTATCGCCAGGAACCCGTTGTCGGTTCGCTTCACGTCCTTCTCGAATCGTGCGAATGTCTCCACTGGGATATCTCCAGTATCGTCCCAGTTGGGTAGCTGTACTCTCCGTCCATTGTTGTAGATGTTTGCGGTGCGGTTCACCCAGTTGATCTCGGGGTTGAATCTTTTTAGGAAGTCTCGCCTGAAGATCAAGTCAAGCCCATTGATGTTGGTGATGGGGAGTGCAGGTCTCCAGCGCAGTGGTCCGATTTGTAGGTGTAGCACTGCTTTGCCGTGTACTGGTAACTTGCTGCCGTCCACCATCGTTGCAGAGAATCCTGAAGGCTTGTACTCTTCCCGAAGTCGGTCGATTAGTGCCTTGTCGCAGATGGTGTGCGATGCTTCGCTGTCCACGAGTGCTTGGAGGCGTCGTCCTTTGCAGATGACCTTGAGCACGAGGGGCAGGCGTTGCTCGGAGTACCCAAAGATAGTTTCATTGATACAATCATAGGGTACATCCCAATATTCATTGCTTCCTAGTCCTGAGCTGGCAGCTGGCCGAGGGTGCTTGGAGAACGGCTCTTCTCCTGGGCCCGGAGTTTCCTTGACGACTGTGCGCGTCGTTGATCTCGAAGTTGCTGAACTGGATGCATCCGGAGGAGGAGTTCGGGGTTTTTGCAGCTTCTTGTAGACCCCCAGCTTCCTCTTGAGCTGCTTCAGCTCCACCGACGTCTTCCTTGGGGAACGGGTGGTCGTTGTGGGCTGGTGTCGGGAGAGGACGTTGAATCCGTGGAAAGGTCGGCTTCTTTCCACACTCCTGAATTTTTCCCCCAAGTTGTCCGGTACCGGTATGATCTCCACAGATTTCTGCTTCTTTTGGAGTCTTTCCCGAATTTTCTCCAAGGCTCTAGCCCCTTGAGAATTGCAAATTTTCATTAAAGCATCTAAATAAGATAACTTTAACGAATCCTTATAATTTCTTGGGTTTTCAAGGAGTTTCCCCGTCTCGGCAGAGTACTTTTTCGCAGAGTTAGATTTTTCCTCGGCGAATTCCTCTGGCAAAGACTTGTCATGGGGTGGAGATTTTTCCCCCTCATTTCCTCCTGCTCGCGTCGAATCAGGTTTGTCGAAGTTGATTTTTCCGGAAGTCCGCGGTCGCTTTCGGATCTTTCCTTTTCGCCAGCTAGATCCGTAATCACTGGTGAGTCCTGTTTTGTTGCTTCTAATTGGCCAAAGGATTTCCGCCACTGTTGCGTTCCCGATACTCTGCGTGTGCGGCTTTCATTTTGTTGCAGTCGAAGATTCGATGGCCCGGCACCCCACAAAAATCACACGTGTAGTTGGTGTTTTTCGGACGTGGCCGCCCTTCCAACCTGTCGACTTCCATCGGGTCGGCGAACATGGTGTGAGCCGAGTGGTTGCCCTGTCGCGTACTGCCGACGTGCGTCCGTCGTGTCCCGGCATTGACCATGTCGAAGCGCTCCGCTGCCGAAACGACGTCAATGTAGCTCGCGTAGTTTGACGCTGCTACCTGTTGTTTGACTTCGGTCTTTAGCCTGGCGAGGTAAGACTGTACTTTTTCCCCTTCGGTCTAGTTGAGAATACGGTTATAAAATTCTTCCATCTGCTGCGTGTACTGTGCTACACTCCCGAACTGTCGATGTCGATGAATTTTTTCCCGAGCAAGGAAACCGGAATTTATCGGCTCGAAGCGTTTCAGCAGGTCGGCGCAGAACTGCTGCCACGTGGCTTCACCGTGGATAAAAGTGCTGTTGCCGCCAATCCACTCGAGTGCCGGCCCTCGCATCAGTGTCGCCGTGAGTCGTACGCGTTGACCGTCCCAGACTGGCGAGCTCCATCCGACGGCTGCGAAGTAGACCTCCATCCCGGCGATCCATCTGCGTGCGTCGGAGTTTCGATCGCTCGGATCGAACGGCTCAGGTGGGCGCGGTTTCGGAGCCTCGAGAAACTGCTGCGACTGCTGCGTCGTCGCCGTTGACGAGTCATGCTGTGCTCCGGCGAGTCGAGTTACTCGCTCGAATTCATTTCGCCACGCTTCGCGGTCCGCTCACATCTCCTCCAGAAGAGCGGCGATGCTCGCGAAGAGCTGCTGGGTAACCTCGGCGTTGTCGAGGGTTGCCATCCTGTTCAAAACACGCGCGGGAGGGGTGATTAAAAAAAACGCGGAGCTGGTGCTTACCAGAATCGGTGTCGAATTGGTCGCCCCCGGCGGTTTTTCAAGGCAGGTTTTCCAGCTGCTGCTGCTTTGTTGAGTGTGGCCGAGTGAGAAAAGCTCTGATACCAAGTGTCTCAGGATCGAATGACTCGAGGAAAGATTGCACTATCGATCAGTACAAGGCACTTTTATACTTCCAAAGCATATCAGGTAACCAGGTTTATCCTATCCAAAGGGAATAGACCCTTCTAGAAGATAGAATCACCCTGCGTATAGCCACGCGAGGCTATTGGCTTTAAGGGATTACGGCAGGATTACGCTAGATATAGCGCGCTAGTACATCCCAAGCCTGGTCGGTGATATAATTATAATAGCAGGATAAACCAAAGGATAATGGAAAATGGGGAATAGGAAACCAAATGAGATGGTATAAAAAGAGAAATGAAATAGGAAGGAAGTAAGGAAAGGCCAACTGGTGTAACGGGGTCGTACTCTCACAGAGGACCACCAGCCGAAGCAGATCAGCTCATGCCCATCACCCGAGGAGTCTGCTGCAGTCGCGCTACGGTCGTCGCGTTCTTCTCCAACGCCGACTTGTACCAGCGCTCTCCCGGCCATCGCACTCCTGATAACATCTGGCATCAACGACTTGGGCACCCTGCAAACAGCTGTATTGTTCAACCCATACAAGCCGGAGTATTAGAAAAGAATGCTCTCCTCACAACAAGCGGCCAGGAGCTTCGACGACCTCGCGCACGATGCTTCACGTGCCCCGAAGCTGATCTTCCCCATCAACCTTTCCCGTCGCACCACAATCCAAGCGCACCTGCATACGCACCGATGGAAAAAATTTACAGCGATATCTTGAACATGCCTCGAGATGACAGTGAAGCCGAGTACAACTACGTCATCATGTTCATTGACGCAGCTACACGATTCGTCTGGCACTTCAACCTCAAGACTCGTGACCAAGCGTTCGAAGCCTTCAGGGCGTGGCTCCCCATCGCTGAACGAGAATCGGGCTCGCAACTCAAGAGCTTCCAGTCAGACGGGGCACTGGAGTATCAGTCACAAAAGTTCAAGAGCTACTTGGCAGAAAGAGGCATCAAACGCCTAGTGTCCCTGCCCTACGCTCACCAACAGCAGGGGGTCGCAGAGAGGATGAACCGCACCTTGCAGACGACGATGCGGTAGCTGCTCCTAGGGATGAGACTGCCCAACACCCTTTGGCCTGACGCGATGACGCATGAAGTCCACCTCCACAACTTGCTGTCCTCGTCATCACTTCCCAACAGCGCTTCACCACACTTGCTATGGATAGGAAAACTGGGCAGCACAAAATTACTTTGAGTCTTCGGCTGCATGGTATAGTACCGACCCCGCACAGCACGAGCAGGACGATTTTCTCAACGAGCACGGTGGGGACTACACCTCGGCATCACAAAACATTTTCACGCGTGGAAACTTCTTGACATCCAGGACAAAACCACCATGGCCTCACGTGATGTGATTTTCTACGAGCGACTGACGCTGCAACATTACCTGGACAACATCGCCAACACAGACGACCCCACCGACGACTTCGAGGGCCATCGGTCCTTCGTCGACCGTGCTGCCAAAGATGACGCAGCAGAAGAAAACGTACCTGGAGCCTCGGAAGCTGCCGGACCACTCCCTTACTGCTTTGTGCCCGTTCCACTCGACGACGACAATCCTCTCGATTGTAACAATCTCGACACCTATTACCACTTCGCTGACCAGGGTTACACTACACCTCAACCGATCGACACAAATGTCTCTGAACGCATCGGACCGAATTTCTTACCTGATCCCGAAAATGGTGACGAAGAAGCTTATCCCGCGAATGACAACTCCCGTCGACACACACCCATGGGCCTGCAGATACTTGGACTATGGGTCGCCGTCCAGAGCCCGCCGCCGCCGTCACCGCACGAGCCAACGACTCTGTCGCAGGCCCTGGGGGGGGGGACACAAGGCGAAATGGAAGGAAGCAATGGAAAAGGAACTAAAGGCCTCGCAAGACCGAAGCACATGGAAACTAGTCCCTGCAACAAAGACCAACAGGTAGAATGTGCTCTTGAGGAAGTGGGTGTACCGAATCAAGACTAACGCGGATGGCTCCATCGACCGCTTCAAAGCTCGCTGGGTCGTACGTGGATTCGATCAGCGATACGGAGCCGACTACACGGAGACATTCGCCTTAGTCTCCCGGCATACCTCCCTACGCATTCTATTCGCCGTCGCGGCCACGAAAAAGTTACCACTGCGGCAGATCGACGTCGCCAACGCCTTCTTGTATGCACTTGTGGACGCTGAGATCTTCATTGAGCAGCCCCACGGTTTCATCGACGATCCCACAAAAGTGTGCCAGCTGATAAAATCCCTCTACGAAAGCAAACAAGCCCCGCGGCTCTGGCAACAGCATCTTCACGGCCGCCGCGCCAGGATCGGCTTCTTGCAGCTACCGCACGACCAAGGGATGTACCGACTGCAGACGGGGATCGATTTTGTCCTACTCATCGTCTACGTCGATGACCTGCGGAAATTGCAACCATGCCCACCTTCTCGTTATTCTACGACAACCAATCCGCGATTGAAATCGCGAACAAAAACGGGTTCACCAATCGAACCAAGCACATTGCCCTGCGGTATTTCTTCATCAAGGATGAGATCGCGAATGGGAGACTTCAACTCAGTTACTGCCCCACGATAGAAATGGCTGCAGATTACCTGACGAAGAAACTGGCGAAGGCAAAGTTCGATTACTGCATGCTGCTGATCGGGCAAATAAACGTCACCGAATCCGGACACGTCAGCACTCCAGAAACGAAGGGGAGTGTTGGAAATATCTCGAAGACTTAAGCGTTTCTGAAGTGTAACA